AATTTTTTTTTAAAACCGTATCCAAAAAAAAAAAAAAAAAAAGAAAGAAAGTAAGAAAGAAATTACGAGGAATGGTTAAAATGTACTTGCATCATTTTAGGTGTAGATTTAATATAACCTACATCTTCTTCCGAGGATACGATTCAATTGATAATTTTTACGATATTTTCACGATTTTTCTTAATATCGAATAACGATAGTTTTCATTTTTGTATACGTTACTTAGAATTTTGGCATGTTTGTAATAAAATTGTCCGTCAAAAAATTATACTAAATATAATATGAAGTTAATCGCATAGAGATTTCATCATGATGCATCGAGCGGGAAACAAACGATACGAATCTCGATACGAAGTCCGATCCCCTTGACAAATTCACACGCGTGTAAAAAATGCATCCGCACAACACAATGTCCACCTAAACCGAACTAAACTTTTCGAAAAAATTCGAAAAAATTCAAACCGAACCGGCCAATTATGAATTCCAAAAATCAATCAAAACACGCAGAAATGTAAAAGTCACGTAACCCGCTAATACCGTCTCTCTCCCCGTGTCCAATAATCTCCTCGTCCATTGAACGCTATCTAATCAAGGAACTAACGCTATCCAATAATAATAATAATAATAATAATAATTAGATATTGAAAGTTTCTTTTTCTTTTTTGTAATTAAACATGCAAAAAGGTTGCGAAAGGTACGAAGAATGGAAAGCGGAACGAGCGCTGAAGACGAAAATTCAGGAAAAAAAGAAAGAAAGGAAGAAACGCAAGATATCAAAAAAGACCGATGAGGAGGACATGGAAGATGTGGACGAATTTGGTAAAACAATTCGAAAGTGTAGAAAAAAGGAGGTAAAGAAGGAGAAGAAGAAGAAGCCGAGACAAAGAGTTAGGAAAATTTACAAACACATACCGGAATCAGAATTGATCTTAGGATGTATAAAACCATCCATAGAAGTGAGGGAATACTTCCTCAATCCACGTCATATTTCATGCATGGGTCTTACAGTACCGCCAACGGAAGCACCGCGTAAGATTTTGATTTTTCACGCTTAAAAAGATTTTTTTTTTCTCTTCTCTCCCTTTCAGATTAGCGAATCTCCGTTAAAATAATTTTTTAAGAGTATGCTTATTAA